CCCCAAAACCCCAAAACCCCAAAACCCCAAAACCCCTTCGTAATTCGGTTAGGTTGAAAATTAGTGAAGATTTATTCATGCCCCCGAAGAGCCTTATCAAGGTTAACAACCAGGTCGTACATCCCGCTAGGAGTCACTCTGTTGATGATAAACTTTGGGATACTCCCTTTTACGTCAGATTGGATTATTTGGGTTAGTAGTGTAGAGTTCCCATTTTCACATTCTTCGAATGAATATCCGTTAAAGTAGACAACGCCTCGTACATAATCTTTTGATTGAGGGAATACATGCTCGTAATTGAATTCTTGTGGTGAGACTCATTGGCAAAATGAGTAGTATTTTGGCTTAGTTCCGTTAGAATTATCGCATTCTTTATGAAGAGATTTGTCATCTTCCGGATAATAAAAAGCAGCAGTCCTATCGATAAACTCTCTATTAGAAACCAGAGGGAGCTTGACTCTTGTCCTCAGAATTCGTACGCCTTGTTCTGGAATGAACTCATCAACGCTGTTACAATGAGGATTCCAAGATTCTTGGTCAAGGATATCTTCACTGAAGAGTCTAAAGACTTCTTTAGGTTTGATTCCTTCGAATATACAGCTCATCTTGCAATATGGAGTACCGTTCGTGATAACGTCTGAGATTCTTACCTCAAGGCTACATTTAGATTTTTCAAACTTCTTGACTACCTGCCAATTTTCAGATTCCTCTAAGAGCCTCTTGAACTCTTTCAAGTTGGTCAGCTCAAAGGAAGAAAGGGCCGGCTTTTCTTCTTCATAGAGAAAGATAGTGTCTCCTTCTGACTTCCTTAAAGAAGTAAATGTGACGTTCATTTTCTGATAAGTTGAGTGTTCACAATCCTTCGAGATTTCAGTGGGGCAATCGATAGAAGGTGTATCACCCCGTTTCAGTTTATTTTGTTTAGGAAAATAAACAGATGGTGGCACATAGAGACCTTCACTGTCCTCTGATGTTTCTAAAGGATCGAATGAATCATGAGTGTAAATTAGTTGACTAATTTTATGATCCTTGTTTTTCAGCAGTTCTGTTAATGATTTCACTTTATCTTCAAGACTCTTTATCCTTTCATCCTTGACAGCAAGCTCTTTCTTGGTCTTTGCCTTAGAGTAATATAGGAAAAAGATAACTGCTCATAATCATAACAAACTCAAAGGTATTGAAGACCCTACGAAATCTGGTGAGGAAGGAATCCATGATGTCACAACTTTAATTTGTTCCATAATTTCTTTATTATATTAAATAATGTTTCAATCAAAAGTTGTAAAGCCGGGGTTTTGGGGTTTTGGGGTTTTGGGGG